TTTTGTTATTTCTTTTGCGTGAATAGTAAATTGCATGTGGGGCCCACACCTGGAGCGAGGGCCACCCGACGTTACGGGGCCACATAATATATTTATCTTGGTCTAGATAATATATATGGTGGTGGATATCCTAGTTGGGCCATAAAAAAGGCATGGGGTTGACTGGTCGATCAAATGAGACCAAATTACAGGTTTTGGTAATTTATCGGATGACGGTCCGAAATGAATTTTGGAGACTTCTAAATTAAAGTTGGGGAATGTACATTCATTATAAAGACCCATAATGTTTGAGAACATGTGATATATTTTATTTGATGAGCCGATAAAATAAAATATAACTAAAACAGTCCGAGAAATACAACTTTCGGGGCCAATTGTACACTTCTGGACTTAAAAGAGTGACCTCCCACATGTGTGGGGGCCAACCCACGATTTTAGTCATAAGAAATCAAGAGTTGGGCGGCTGAACAAAGGAAGGAGGATGGGAGATGTTGGGATTGAATGGAAAGGCATCTAACGGACATGAGGTGGACCTCTCATCCACACTTATTTGTCCACTGGGACAAAAAGACCATCCCTACTCTCCTCTCCCTCTCATTTTCGACCAAGCACTTTCAAAACAAGGAAATAGGCTCTGCAAAACCCCCATCTCCATAGCCAACAAAGCTCAAACAAGCAAGGAACTCAAGGAAGAAGAAAGAATTGCAAAAGCTGAGAAGAACCTTGAGAATATAGGTGAGATGCTCCATAACAACTTTTCTTCCATTTTTTACTTTCATATGACTTATAAATCATATGAGTAACCCCTAGTGTGGTTCTACATGTCCAAAAGTGTAGAACGATGGGTTGGAAAATAGTTCTAAAGTCCAAGAACGGACTTAGAAGCCAAAAGGACCGGTTCGCCGGAAAATAACCTTTTTAAGGTTATTTGTATTGATATGGGTTTTGTGATGATAAAACCTTGTTATACACTTGTATAGGTGATTCAAGAGCTTTCAAGAAGTTGAAAGAGTCGCCGGAGTTATCGCCGGAGTTCGTCAAAGTTCGCCGGAGTTTCGCCGGAGTTCAACCAAGAAAGGTAGAACTTCATAGCGCTAATTCGAGGTGAGTGGACGACTTAATGTCTTATAACTCTTGGGTTAATTATGAGATTACCTAAGTAAATGTTATATGTGTTCATAATGATGTTTAAAAGATGCTTAAACATGTGATTAGCCAAAGTGATTAAACTTATATGAATGACCCATTACTACCATAAATGAAAATGTTTATAAAAACATATATGATGTTTTAAGGGATAAACAGGGCATAAAATGCTTGGTTATAACTTAATACACGTTGGGATTAAGTTTGACACGAATCGGGCTTGAAATGGCGAGTCAACGAAAATGTTGACTAGGTTGCCCAGGGGGGTAACCGACGCCGGTTATAGGCAAAACCGGCTCCGGTTGTGGTTCGTCCTGATCGGATTATTAATTTAATTAATAACCGGCGCCGATTATTTCTAAAACCGGCGCTGGTTTGGTACTGTTTTGCCTATATGTTGATTTTTAATGCATGAATTGCATGGATGATTATGTTTAAGCCTTTAGACTTGGTTTAGTCTTGATTAATGATTATGATATAGATCTTATCTAGTAGGATATGTGGTAGATCATAAGTAGGGTTAAGTATCCAAGGATCGGGCGTGTATCCTCAAAACTCGGTTATAGGGTGGAATACCCAAGGATCAGGTGTGTATCCTCAAAACTCGGTTATAGGGTGGAGTACCCAAGGATCAGGCATGTATCCTCAAAAATCGGTTGTATAGGGTGGAGTACCTAAGGATCGGGCGTGTATCCTCAAAACTCATAGATTACTGTTTAGTAATTCAGAATCGGTCGGTGTCCTCATGATAAGTTGATTTGAACTAGGAGGAGTTCTATTCTCCCAAATAAACAATGACCTTCGGGTCAGGTATTTCCAAGTGTATATATACTGATATGTATTTCATAACTTGGGGGGAAAGAACTATATGTGTATGTATCACCCTATGTTTAGGTCTTATACTTAAAATGTTAGTTATTCTACATTTAGCCTGCTACTCGCTCGGTACTTGTACTGACCCCTTCGGGGGGGGGGGGGGGGGGGGAACCATTTCAGGTTGAAGCCCAAGCTTGCTATTCTCACCTTGCTCGGTGAAGTGATCTAAAGGAAGACATGGTTCGCGCTTCCTTTACTGTTTTAAACTATAAACTATGCTCATGGATACTTTGTAATAAATACATTTGTTTTGGGCCTGCAGACCCACGTTTTGGCCATGTGTGGCCCATGATTGAATATTGAATATTTCCGCTATTCGTTCAATGCAAATATGTGATGTTGTTATGTATGTTTACTTACTGAGTATGATATGGACTATGTTCATGGACGCCTTGTAAGATTAAGTCACGTTGACTTGCGAGTGACATCATTTAGTCATACGACGGTTGTACACGTGCTTAGATGCGGTCTGGGGCGTGATAGGGTCGGTCCTGATGAGTAAACCAAACTCGTTGCTCTAAGAGTTTGGATACCATATGGTTTTATTTTTATAAAGTTTATCTTAAATAGATAACAAAATTACTTGGTTTCGTAAAGTATATATCAAACAATGCAAAAAAAAAACATCATACACTAATTAAATAGTTCTAATGCATTGAAAATAAATGCCTATTTTGTTAGAAAATGAATTGCAAACCCCTATTTGAAAATGCTCACAATCAAAATTACGTTTTTATACTTTTCCTAAAAGCTAATGACAAGAATGAGAATGTTTTGCATGAAAAATGCTTAGTGTACGTAGTTGATGTTCTGTTTAAGAGATTTTCTTAAAATATTACTAATAAAAAAGTTACGAACAAAAATGTGATTATTAGCTACAATGTGTAAGTTTTATAGCAACTATAATGTAATATATGAATACAATTATAGTCAATAAAGTTACCGAAATCCTATTTTGTCCACTACTTTTATTTTGGTCGTATAAATTTGAAATTATTTTTTTGTTTAATGTAAATGCCATTATGGTGATGTAAATTCATGTGAGAACGTAATTCTAACTATTGTGTGTTTATACATAATGTGTTGTGAATAATATATGTTTTATTTAAATGATTTTACAAATAGAGTTAAGAGAAAGAGAGGAATGCAGACTGAATTGCTTGTTTTATTCTCAGGCATGTATGTGTATTTATACAATCATTGGGAGCCTATAATAATAATAATAATTACAAAGATATGTAATAGTTATAATTGAAATTGCAATAATTGAAAATATTATAAATTAATATTTTCTAGAATGTTCAATACGCCCAAGCAAGACAAGTATTCTGTCACTCCCAAGAATCATGAGCTTGTCTCTTAGAAGAGTAAAATGTTGCCTTGAGAGTGGTTTGGTAAGAGCATCAGCTAACTGATCATGAGATGAGACGAAGGGCACGAAGAAGCTAATGTTGCACACTTTGTCAGACAAAATGAAAATCGATGGCAACCATCATAGAATGAAAAATCGAATTTGCTGAAGAGGTGCAGCACCTTTGTTATCACAAAATAGAGCAGGGAAGAGGGAGGCAGATGTCGGAGTTCATGAAGAAGAGGCTTAATCCAAAGAATTTCAAATGCAACACTAGAGAGAGTCTGATACTCTGTTTCTGTAGATGATCTAGCAATGATCCGTTGTTTGATGGACTTCTGAAAACAAGTGATTCACCAAGAAAAATGGCATATGTGCTGGTTGAGGAGCGATCATCGGGATTTATTGCCCAGTCTGCATCAGCATAAGCACGTAGAGAAAGAGATGAATTGCGGCAGAGATAGAGGCCATAAGAAGTAGTGCCTTGAAAGCAGCGTAATAGGCATTTGATACGATGCCAATGAGTAAGTGTCGGTTTGTGCATAAATTGAGCACATTTGTTGACAGAGAAGGCAACATCTGGTCTTGTGAGACTCAAATATTGAAATGATCCAACGACCTGACGATAGAGAGTCACATCGCAAGATCCCGAACTATCAAACATGGTTAAGGATGTTGAGGAAGTCAAGTGTGTGGATACCGGCTTAGCCTCATGCCCTCATCCATTTTCTACATATGCAATAAATCGGTAACATAGTATTGTTGATCAAGAAAGAGTCCATTCTGGTGTGGGAGTGACCTGCATGCCTAGAAAAAAATGTAAGGATCCAAATCCTTAATAGAGAACTTTTGTGAATGGTTCAATAGTCCAACGAACCAAAGTAGGAGTAGAACCGGTAACAATAAAACCATCCACATACACCACATACACATGAAGTGAAGAGAAATAAAGTGAAGAGAGTATGAAGAGACTCGCATCTGACACAAATTGATGAAACCCAAGAGAAAGAAGAAACCCATTCAGAGATTGATACACCAAACCGTGTACTAGCATCCAAGTTAAAGTGAGAAAAATCTTACTCAAAACTTTGATGTTACCTAACAAGACTAGACATTTAGATTTAAGTAGCTATACAAATTCACATTGTTAATGACGCTTTAATGTTAAACACAATGATACGCATTCATACTTTTTTAAGTTTTTTTAATTAAAGAGTGTGCTTAGAATTAGTGTTGCCTAAGCAACTCCTAGTACTAATTGTTAGCACTTATATGGGATGAAGTGATGAACTGATTATATATATTTAGGTCAATACCAACTTGTAATTGCAGATTCATTCGATACAGTTGTGGAGCTACAGCTAAAAACACAAATAAATATCATGAAGGTATTTGGTTTCTCAAAGGGCTAAATACTGAATGAGTACTGGAATTAAGCTAAATCGATCCAAATCATCCAATTCCTTTGAAAAAAAACTTTTGGAAATGTGCTCAAAGTTGGGGAGACAGTTCAATAATCTTGAGGTTGGGACTTGGACTCCTTTGTCATACAGCTTGTTTCAACAGATAATGCCATGGTTAATTTCACAAGACAAATAATCTGACCACACAAGTAATAAACACAAGTCCATCATTAAAATATTAGAGCATATAATGATGTGGGTAGAGAGGATTTACAAATTGGTGCAGTAAAATGATCTCAAAATTACTCTAAAGTTATAGCTTCTATGATTCTTTGAACCATTAACTGTCCCCTTGCCAAAGTACCAGTATTATTTTCAAATTTCAACACATAATGAAAAAGGAATTAATTACTAATGAGAATGCAATCACTGGCAGCCCCCATGAGTTGAACTCCATGTTGCTCCACAAGCATAGCAAAATTCAAACTTACACCTGCATTAACAATCAAACAGCGGACAGGGTGAATTTATTAGGGCGTGCAAAATTTCTTATTAGAACTTGGCTTCTCAATCTTGATGGCCTAAAATATTGAAAATATAGCAACTATAGTGTATATATAGCATATAAAAACTATTTTGTATACTATATGAGTGAAATTTTATTAAAAAAATTATTTTTGTTTTTCATTTTCAAATTGCACAAGCTTAGTGATATTTGAAACATACTTCTGTATAAAATAGGGAATGACTTATACAGTTATACTCCCTCTACCCACAAAGATGAGTCATCTTTGACTTTTTGGTGTTTTGTTTTGACCAATGTTTTTAATCAATATATTTTAGTGAAAATAATAGTTCTAGGAGATTATTTTTAGCCAAGAACATTCTCATATAACTTTCACATTATAAACAAACTTGTACAATGGGTCAAAGTTTAATATATTGGACTAAAAAGTAAAATAATGTGAATTTTTATAAGATAGAGGAAGTAGGTTTGAATACACCTGAACAATCTTTTGCTTAATTAGCAGAAGACCCCTCAGAAATTTAGACAGCATTGTTGACTTATGTGAAAACAGATTCCTTATCCAACCCCGTTCAAAATGACATCGCTTTGATCAAAACACCATTGTTTTTAGTTACCAAATCAATGTCGTTTAAAATCAATACGATGTAATTTAACATCGAAACGGTATCGTTTCATTAAACGACATTGTTTTGATCTTAGATTCTTAGGGATATTTTGGGTTGGGAAGTGAAACTAGGTGAAAGCACAACCTGCAAGTAATATGCAAGCACCCTTCAGTCTTATCAACATAGAATTGGCAAGAAGGGCATCTTCTCCAGCTTTTCTGCTTAGCCATATCCCTGACCATGATATCCTCTCTACCTCTTTCATCCACACCCAGCGTCTGAAACTCCTCACACCCGATCCCAGAATGCCACGGCACGTTGCACTGAGCACAGAACAGCCTGTTGCAGAAAGGGCACTCCGATTCCCTAATCATCCCACCGCTGTCATTCACCAGCATTGCAGAGCAATTCTTGTAGGGGCAGTAGAATTTCTCCGAGGCTGGAATGACCGACTGGCACAAAACATAATCCCACCTGGTTAGCACATCCAGAGGGACAAAAGCCTTACACGAATCGAATTCGAGAGAGGCAGAGCAATTCAGGCCGGGACATGTCACCACAGGGATGCTGTCCTGAACTCTCGTCTCCACATGCCTGCTGATACAAACTGTGCAGAACATATGGCCGCATCCATCAAGTCTGAACATTTCGTCTAAATCCTTCCTCTCCGTGCAAATTCCACAGAACATTTGAGACGATTCGCATTTCTCTCCTACTTCTTCGACTTCCACTTGAGCCAATGCGGCGGCGGTGGCGGCAGACACCATTTTCATGATTTCTAGGGTTGACAGCGGCAGGTCGGGGGTTCCGGAGCTTTGGGCGGCGGCGGTTGTTATGGAGGAGAGCAGGGCTTCTTGGAACTGCAACTCCTCCGCGTATTTAGCATCTGAAACCGGCGGGGAAGTCTGATCAGCGTCATCATTGGGGACGAGTGAGAAGTAGAAATCGTCACAGGAAAGGTCAAGCGACGGCGGGGCTGACTGTTGGACTGCAGTCAAAGAGGATGATGCCATGGTCTTGAATTGAAAACCTACGGAAATCCTGCAGCCCCTAAAACGAACAAGAAACCGGCAAATGCTTCGGGAATCTACATTAATGGCGAAAAAATGAAGTTGAAGTGGAGTATGAGTCTCATTCCTGTTTCTCCGGATTAGTTTTACTCGTATTTTCTTTTTTAGAAAACTGTCAAATAGGTTTTCGAATTTTCATTAAAAAGTCAATTAAGTCTTTTTATAGGAGACTCTGTCCGGTCGTCGTGATTTGGGGTGGTTCCCGGTAGAATTTTTTGATGAAATTTTTTGAGCATCTTATTCATCAAGTCTAATTTACTCGTACCAAATTTCAGCTAAAAAATCAATCGGGAGCGCATTCAAATTAATTCAAAAACACAAAAATGCGCAGTTATCTTCAAGAATTAATTTGAATGTGTTCCCGATTGAATTTTTAGCTGAAATTTGGTTTGAGTAAACTAGACTTGGTGAATAAGATGCTCAAAAAATTTCATCAAAAAATTCAACCGGGAACTGCCCCAAATCGCGACGTCCGGACAGAACCTCCTATAGAAGGACTTAATTTACCTTTTTATGAAAGTTCAAGGACCTATTTGACTGTTTTCCCCTTCTTTTTATTAGTTTTAGTTTTATTTTGTTTTACCTAAAAGACTATTATGGGGTGTTTGGAATTGACTCTGCATCGGGATGTAATTTTTCTTTATTCTGTTTTTTAAGAAAAGAAAGCTTATATGTATCTATAGATAATACATTTGAGAGATACAATTGAGAGATAGTATGGGGCGAAACATTTGAGAGATACATTTGAGAGATAGTATGGGCTGCAGATAAGGTAGTGGGGCGAAACAATGAGGCCGATCACACATCACCAAAAGGGACGTACGCAGGACCTCCACAAAAAAAAAAAAAATTACCATGGGGCGTACACAGCACATCTACGGACGCTGAACAAAAAATACAAGCAAGATTGCCATGCTAAACACAAGACAATTAAAGAGAAAAATCAGTCTTTATTCTTCAGCTCTTCCGACTGGGAAAATAAAGAGTACAAATGTAAAGAATGAATGATTATAAATACAAAGTACTAGACGACGAGCGGAGCTTCAGGCTTGATCGCCGTCCGGAGCTGGGACCTGGAAAGGAAGTTGCTATGCTTTCTCCTTGGCCTCGGCCTCCTCACGCTGCTTGCACTCTCGGAGCAATTCAAGGGCCCCCTTGTAAGCATCCACCATCAACAAATCAAACCCAGCTGCCATCTGGTCAAATGGAGCTCCAAAGTGACGCTCGAAAACTAGGAGATTCTCAGTCTGGCCGATCATACCTTTGATAATATACAAGGTAAGAACATGGTTCATTACCTTTTATTTTAAAACATTGTATTCATACTATTATTAAAAATTCATACCATTGTTCTTGTTCTTAGGACATAGGAAGGATGAATCAAATGGGGTTGTTATGTCTAGATGGTTTTGAAAGATAAAATGGGCCTACGAGCCGGATGTGTGTGTGTGTGATGTGTTTTTGAAATGGGGTAGATAGGTGTCACGTCCATAAGTATATTATCACCCTATATTGATTGTCTTGCATTTAAAACGTTAGTTATATTCTATATATAGCTTGCTCTCGTCAGTACTTGTTCGATAGTACTGACCCTTTGGGGGTACCTCGCCATTTTTCAGGTCGAGGTTAGAGCTTACTTTATGTACCCGTTGTTCGGGAGATCGATGGAGAGAAGACGTGGTTCGTGCTTCCTCCAATTCCGTTTCTGAATAAATATTTAATACTCATGAAACTATTTTGAACTTATAAATTATTTGGAGCTTGTTTTGCCCATGTGTGGGTTCTTATTTAATATTAACATTCCGCTATGTGTTTATTTGTTTGTTGACATTGTTGTGTATGTTTACTAACAGGTTTGGCACATGCATCTACCGGACATCTTGTGAAATTTAGTAAGGATGAACTGCGATCATCCTTTTTGAGTTGTACGACGGTCAAGCTACATGGTACGGACGTGATTCGAGGCGTGCCATTCCGATCATTACAGTAATTACTTCTATTCTATCTATTCACATAATAAACACATAGTGATACTACTTGGAATTTCAAAACCTTTTTAAATCCAATTTAGGTCAATTTCTTATTTCATTTTTGTTAAACCTTACCTAACTTTTTGATATAATTTTAACAAAATTTTCATTTCTCTTTCCTAATTTTCCCCCACTTTACTTTTTGTTCTTCTTTTTCTTAACTTTTTTTTTTATTACTGAAGGCGTTTATCTCAAGCCTTCGGGCTTGGGTTGTCCAACTGCTGTGTTTGGGCCGTTCAAAATACTTGGTCCTGTTGAGCTCGTAAGAGTATGTGGACTACGAATCTTGGGCCATTAACTCTATGAATAGCCATTTCTCCCCTTACAAAATAATTTCTCCCCTAACAAAAATAAATGATGATATACATTGAAATCTATGTGACTATGTTGTAAGACCTGAACCAGACCGTCCGGTTCGACCCGGAACCCGGTCACCCGGCCGTTGCTTCAAGCCTCGAAATCTAAACAAACGTGTTACACTCGCTTGTTGGTTCTTTAGGTTGTTTAGGTATACTTGTACCTTATTTGCCTGGAAATTTTTTATTGAGTTTAATTACTTAGTTTATTAATTAATTAATTTATGATAAAATTACCAATAAATACACATCAATGCTATTATTATACTTCCCAGTTATCTATATAATCTTCGAGACTTTTTATTGAATTTTGTAATTGGTATTATATTCATATTTATTATCCATCTAAATTTCAATATATATACCCGTAGTATTAAATTTTGTTAAAACCAATCTATTTAAATACAATAGCTTTTAGATTGGAGAAAATTGGGTGTATGTACATACTTTAATATGTAACTTTAAGTTAATATCCTGAGTTAGTAAAAATAAGGTAAATAGCTTTTAGGGAAACACACGATCACATTATGTTCCTTTTAACCTTACGGCAGTTCCCATCTCTCTCACTATCCCGCTAAATTCGCACCCAAGAAAAGATACCGCCTCTATATGGAGAAGGCACTGATAAATCGTAATTTGCAACGATTTTCATGACAACAACCTAAATCCTTAACAAAGGTAAAAATTTTCATTATCGATTATATCTTTGTTTTTCAATTTCAATTTTCGACATGACATTCTAAATTCTCGAGTCTACGAGAGTTCTTAATCCCAGTAGAGAATTGAATATCCACTACATACTATACGGGTAACTGATTTTTTTTCTCCTTGAGTTTATAGTGCTTTTGAAAATATTATCCGTACTTTCTTTTGCAATCTTGGGTAACAAAGGATATTTAGGAATGAGGATATTTTGAAAAAATTATCCGTACTTTCTTTTTACGTTATCGAATATAGCCATTAGGAAAAGAAAATTGATCTCCAAAAAAAGGTGAATATAGCCGGTTGTAACGAACTATGTATAGGAATGAGGATATTTATGGTATTAAATGTTTACCGGCTTTATATTAATAAGAAAAAGTGTTATATACTTCATTAAATATAATAAATGCTATTAATTTCAAGTGACCTATTTTTTATGGTTATATTATATAGCAATTTTTCCCTTTAGATTGCTTATATTGTATTATTATTAAATTATGAAAGAATGTAATCTTTTTTCTATTTAGGAATTTAATCTTTTATATCATTAATTAATTAATGATATACCCGTTGTTGACCTGGTTTATCCGTTGTTGATCGGGCTGACCCGTCGGGTCCGGGTTAACCCGTGACCCAGCCATTTGTTTGGTCACTTTCCGGTCCGGTTCTTACAGTATAGAATTTGAAATATGAACATTCATATCAAATATTCAAACATAATCAAATATATTTGAAAAATTAATCAAATTAAATATAAATATTCGTTTTAAGTTCTGCTTAAAAAAAGAGTTCAAATACTGAACAAATATTTGGTTACCAAATTAGAGAAATTGGACTTAATATGTACTCCGTATTAGATTACAACCTGGTTGTTAAATCTGGACCCGAGACTGCCGAAGTACCGATACCAATCTCTTCTCTCGCGTCTGGCCGTTTGCTGCAACTCCCAGTCGGATTGCTTCTTCTTGCCGCCGACCGTCGTTGCCGAGTGGGCAGATTGCTAAGCTCTCGACGACTCGCCGTTTTCCGATTCGCAGGTGCCAGGTATTCACTCTTCAGTTTCAGGTATTCCCGTTTAGGTTTGCCGATCGGCTTAAGGGCGGCAGACTAATGGAGGGATTCCCTTTTATCTGAAACGCTTCGATTCTGCTGGAAAAACGTTTCGGAAACGTTTCTGGCACCCTGCTCAGAAGCCCAAATCCCTCATAAACGTTTCCCTGCGTTTCCCTCCCGTTTCCGGCCGTTTCCACACGTTCCGTTTCCGAAACTGTTCCGGAACGGAAACCTGGAGGTGAACGGTGTTTCCCATCTTCCTAGTTTGCCATGTTGCAGTGCTTAGAGGGAATCAGGAACCTGGGTGCTTCAGTGCTACGATGTTGTGATCTTGATTTTAAGCAAACAAGGGGTCTTGATGATCCTGAAATCCTTGCACGAGAGACTGTGTGTATGTTACTATTGTACTAATACACCACCATCCTTTTGTTTCTCTTTATTTGTAGTCATTGATTTTTAATGAATGTCTCATTGCCTTGGAACTGCATATCTCCTCCTTGACTTATCCAAATCAGGGGTTTTTATCTTATTGGGGGATATGCAAACTTTCTTTCATAACATTCTAGTTTATTCTTATTACATAACGTTTTGAAAATTGCAAAAGTTCATGGACTTCAAAAGCACTTTCAAGTCTTCTGCATAAATGTTTATTTAGTGTGAGAGTTTAACCACAGCTTCTTAGTTCATAGGTACTTGCCAAGATATGACAGCTCTCTAACTAATGTTTTCTCTCTATTTTTTAAATAACGCAGTTAGCGTAAGTGAAATTGAAGCACTATATGAACTATTTAAGAAGATTAGCAGTGCTGTAATTGATGATGGGCTGATCAACAAGGTATTCTGTCTTCAAAATGCAGCTTCCTCTATTTAAATATTATCATTAAGGAATGCCAGGCACACTCTTTTATGCACTTCGTATTAAAGGCTCTATGTCCAATTGTTTAAAGTTTGTAAAATCCACTTACCTTTTTACTTCCATATGTGACCCAACTTTCTTTTTTCCCTTACGTTTTTAGCCAATGAGAGAGATGCCTAGTAGAAAGTGTCAAAGTACATTAAAGAGTGTGCTAATATCGTATAGCACGCTTAAGAGTGTGCCAATGGGAGAGATGTCTAGCATTCTGCTTTATGTTCTTTTTAAAAAGATGCATCCATCCCCGAATTTAGCCATGTAGTTTGCTGATATTAGTGGTGTTTACAAAGACTCATTGTGATAGAGTGCACGTGGTGTTTACAAAGACTCATTGTGGGACAATGTTGCCCCATAGCCTAGCTGCCAAGAATTGAACCCCAGTCTACCCTTTTTGGCACACCCTATCAACTAACTGTTGAGCTACACTCACTAGCAAAAAGAAAAGTTAGTGCTTTATGATATTTAAAAAGGACTCAGTTGGTGCCTAATAATTATCTGCATCATATACTGCAGGAAGAATTCCAATTGGCTCTATTCAAGACAAACAAAAAGGAAAGCTTGTTTGCTGACCGGGTACTTAATACAGAGTATTTAACATTAACCACGCACTGGGTTCTTTGTTTTTTTGACTCATTTTTGCGGTTTTCATCCATGTTCCAGGTGTTTGACTTATTTGACACAAAGCATAATGGCATACTTGGTTTTGAGGAGTTTGCCCGAGCTTTGTCTGTTTTCCATCCAAATGCTCCTATTGATGATAAGATTGAGTGTATGTTTAGATCCTTTATCTGTGTATTTGGTATGGAAATTTCATTTGGAAGGTATATGCTTGACCTACATTTTATGTGCTCATTTTTTCATATTGCAGTTTCATTTCAACTATATGATCTCAAGCAACAAGGTTACATTGAGAGACAAGAGGTGACTTTTTTTGCAGATTCTACAAATGAGCGCTTCTTTATTTTATTCTGAACACAGGAATATTGTATAATATGGTTATATGGTTGTCCAGACTGCAATTTCTTTTGTTGAAAAAAAAAAACAATCTTAGTTGTCTAATCTTATTCTGTCACCACTAATGAAACTTAAGATAATAAGTAGATATCGACTTCAGTGGATTAAATGAATGTTACAATATTTCTTAGATTCTGTCGAAGTGTCGATTAACAATTACCAAATAGGAGTACTAAGCCCCACTCCCAAATAGTAGTAATAATTGCCATGAATGGAAAGTGCTGCCAATTATGAAATTAATACTGTCATAGTATTGTCTAATATTGCAGTATTATTTGAGAATGACAATAGTTTATTTCTATTTTGGAGGAAAATATAGTACTCTATTATGAAATATCCCATTTTTTTACTCCTATTTTGGGAAATTTCCCTTCAGTAAATGATTAAGTTTGGTTTCTGATACTCAGGTGAAACAAATGGTGGTTGCTACCCTAGCTGAATCTGGAATGAACCTTTCTGATGATGTAATTGAAAGTATTATAGACAAGGTGCTTCTTCATCCTAGACACACCTATATTTCTTTTTAAAAAGGCCTATAGTACATTAGTATCCACTGGCCAAAATTGTTTTTGCCAACTTTGAATACACAAATACAAGTCATCTGAATGCAGAAGAGATAGAAGCAATATAAATTGCAAAATTTGTTTACTGAAAGGGAAAGGGGCAAAGTCTTCTGGGATATAAGCCAAATTAGAAAATTTGGGAATCCTTTTAGGTATCTCTAAAATAATAGTCTTTTAGGTATCTCTAAAGTAACACTCGGTAGTTCTTTTTATTCTAAGTCCCTCTTCTTTAACCTCCTTTAAAAAGAAGGTTGCTCAAATAACTCAAGTATAGCTTTTCCACATTATTCTTTAAAAAATCTGTGAATTTTTATTTTCAGAGATCCAAAAGGGTGATAAGTTTGGCTTATCCCTTGCGTGCTTACTAGTTATATTGTTGATGAGTTAGTGATAGTTGAGACAGGTTAAACTAAAGTCTTGTGCAGACAGGAACTAAATTACAGGAATGAATAATACTCCACCCGTCCCAAAAAGTTTTGACAAATTTATTCATCATTTCCCTTAATTGTAACAAATTTGTGGTTCATATCATTTCCCTTCATTATTCTACATGTAAGTCCGATTTGACCCAAGGTTGTTAAGATCACGATCTAACTCGTTGAATCGCATGATTTTACGATCAGAAAAGGGAGGGTCGAGTTGGATCGCTGCTAGGATCGGAAACAGGCCTGGGATCGCCGGATCGACGAGTAGAAACGTAACTCGTACGAATCGTCGATCTAATCGAGCTGCGATTTCTCAGAATAAAAAATGGGAAACGAAGGTGGACTGATGTCTGGAACGGCGAGTTTTAAAAAAATTAAACATCGATGCCTTATGATGAAACCCAAAAGCGACCCACAGCGTTGAACTTCCCTACTTCATCTGCTTTAAATCATTGTTCCTCTTCGTTTTCTTCGTCTCTTCTCTGTTCTCGCTCTGTTCTGTGTCGTCTGCTTCGTCCACTTGTGCTTTTTAAAATCGTCCGCTTCCTTAGTAGTCAACTAGGTTTAGTGGTTCAGTTCTGATAGCAATAGTAAGTCCATGGGCTCATGGCTAGTGGGCTATCTTTTTTTTATTAAATCGCCCCCTTCAAATGTTATGTGAGGTGTTTTATATTATTGCTTTATTATTAATTACTAACTAATATATATTTTTTGGAAAATTTAATATTAATATCAATTTGGTGTTCACATAGAATAGAATTGAATTATATATATGGATGTGTATAATATATGTATATATATATAGCATGGCAGGATCTTACGATCCGAGTTACGATCCCCGAGTTACGATCTCCTAGACCCTGTCCGATCCGTGCTAGGATCTCGAGTTTAACAACCTTGATTTGACCAACCTGTATGGGATGAAGTGGGTATCAAATAATTCTACACAGGATTGTAAACAATAACAAAAAAGTTATATTAACAGGAACAAACAACTTATTTAAGCCAAATAATGGATTGACACTCTTTGTACTTGACATTACTTGTTATGTTCTGCAGACCTTTGAGGAAGCTGATACAAAACATGACGGGAAGATCGATAAGGAGGAATGGAGGAATCTAGTCTTGCGCCACCCGTCACTGCTCAAGAATATGACCCTTCAATATCTCAAGTATGTCCTGCTACAAAATCTCATTCTTACGCTTGCAAACTTTTTGAATTAACCACCAGTTCTAAATGACATTCTCGCTTTGAACAGGGACATCACTACTACGTTTCCAAGCTTCGTGTTTCACTCTAGAGTTGAGGATACTTGATAACACAGGATAAGGTCGTGTTGGAAAGTATTTAAGTTGCAATTTTCTTTTATTGGGTAAAATTGTATTGTGTTGTGATGTTCTTTTATTTCATTCTATTATTATATGATTAGTAATTCTTTTTTTCTTTTGGGAATCATAAGTTAATGTAATTTCTGTGCCAATAAATTAAATGATCTTCAATTCAATGCCTGCTTGTACATTTTCATAGTTAAAATCAAGCATCTGATCTTTCTACCGCATTGCATATAATTTGTTCTACTTCACCACTTTAATTGCTCCCATAGTGCCATCTCCAGGCCACTTGGGACAAATGGACAATCTACAGATTCCGTATTGTTTTATTCTTTAAAAGATTAATGGCCTGTTTACTAATAGAAATATTTTCTGTTTTTCAAAAAATTTGGAAAACTGGAGATAGAAAAATTAGAAAATGTGTTTACCAAACAGTTTTCCAAAAGAACAAAAATGAAACATGTTTCGCTTCTTTCTTTTGATATGGAAAATTGACTTTTAACGTTTTCTGACTTTAGAAAACGCGGAGCTAGAGTGATAGCTATTTACTTGCTCGCCCTATCTTCCGCCTACCTTTTTTACTCGCTCATTTACTCTTCCGCCTACCTTCTCTATTCCCTTCCTTAACTATGCTGTACTCCCTCCGCCTACCTTCTTTATTCTTTACCTCTTCTCCAAACCCCTGCGATTTGAATACCTTCTAACCACTGCCCTATCCTATTTAAGTTAGTGGTGGACTCGGGCCGGTTCGGGCCCGGCCGGGCCTCGGGCCAGGAAAGCTGGGCCCGAGCCCGAACCGCCGGTGGGCGGTTCCGGTTCCGGTTCCGGACCAAACCGGGCCGGGCCAGGCCTAACCGGTTCTATTTTTTTTTTTGGTTCTTCTATTTAACCCCCAACCCCTCCCCCTCAACCCCACACCACCTCAAATGGCCCAAAATACCTAATCCAACCCAAAACTTTAAAAAAAAAAAAAATAAATAAATAAAAACCGGCCCGAACCGGTCGGGCCGGTTCACCAAAAACTGGGCTCGAGCCCGAACCGCCCAACAGCCGGGTTGGGCCGAACCGAACCGGTGGACCCACCGGGCCCCGGGCCGGGCCGGGCCAAACAGTAACCGGGCCGGGCCGGTTCCGGGCCGGGCCGCCCGGCCCGAGTCCACCACTAATTTAAGTATCACACTTCCTTCCTCAAATGATCAAATCCATCACACCTCTTCTCTAACGCTCTATAGCTCGTAGCTTCACATGTCAACCAAGCTCCAACGTCACCGAACAGGGCGTCGCTTAGTGGTGGACTCGGGCCGGGCGGCCCGACCCGGAACCGGCCCGGTGACTGTTTGGCCCGGCCCGGCCCGGGGCCCGGTGGGTCCATCGGTTCGGTTTGGCCCGGCCCGGGTGATGGGCGGTCCGGGCTCGGGCCCTGCTTTAGGTGAACCGACCCGGCCGGTTCGGGCCGGTCTGGGCCGTTTTTTTTTTTTTGAAATTCTTCTAAGTTTTGGGTTGGATTAGGTATTTTGGGTCATTTGAGGTGGTTTGGGGGTGGTTTGGGGTTGAGGGGGAGGGGTAGGGGGTTAAATAGGAGAACCAAAAAAAAAATGAACAGGTTTGGCCCGGCCCGGTTTGGCCCGGAACCGGAACCGGAACCGGCCACCGGCGGTTCGGGCTCGGGCCCCAGTTTTCTGGCCCGAGGCCCGGCCGGGCCCTGGCCCGAACCAGCCCGGGTCCACCTCTAGCGTCGCTGCTAGGAGCTGCACCCTGTTATCGTGGTCCCGTGGAATCTCACAATTCTTCAGTCAACTCATGTTCTGTGACTCTGTCAATGAGTTGAAGGTAAGCTCTGAAATTAAATGGCATTTTCACTTTACCTTGTTGAAAAATTGAATTCGATTGGAATCCTGAAAAGCAGTTGATACCTGAAAGTCATATTCGTGTGACTCTCCTACCATTTTCAAGGCCAATTGAGCTTCATATTTTTTTTTTCTGGCTTTTTCTGCTCCAGTAGTCTAAGTTTACTACTCCCTCTGTCCCGCTAAGATTGTCTCATTTTACCTTTTCGGGAAGTCCCACTAAAATTGTCTCATACCAAATTTGGTAAAGATTGTGTGGCTCAAAACCATTCTTACTTTATTCTTACTTTATCAATTTAATATCAACCACACAAACTTACTTTTCTTAATAATCGTGCCACCTTCTTTCGTCCCAATCTTAGTGGGACAGAGGTAGTAGTTACTACGTATTTGAATTTTTTTGATATCTAATTAGTTTGATGTATATAAGTATATTGGAATCGAATGTGATCTAGATTACTTTCTTTTGTCCCTTTTCTGTGCCTAAGTTTGTTAATTGGATTGGCTGTATGATTCATGAATTGTTTGTTGGTTATATTTATCGAAAAGTTGTGAAAGCATGAGGAAACAAAATATAGTCCAGGACAGATTGATAGCAAAAAGATTGAAATAGAGGAATAATGATTTGGAATTGGTAGAACCTGGGCTGGGGTATATGCTATTTATTAGGTGTTCTACAGGCTTAGGATATTTTCTTCCTTTTTTGATCTGTTGTTTTGCACTTGTATATATGTGTGTGTGTGTATGTATCTATATTAGGAGTTTTTTCTGCTTTTTTCTTACTCCGTATTAATTATTGTTTAGGAAGTCATTTTTGTATAAGCCTGAAGGGATCTTTCTTTTTAACCTAGTTAGCTTTTTTCCGTTTTAAACGCGTTTTAAACACATATCATTTTCTTGACCAAAAAAACACGTTTAAAAAGGGGGGAAGTGTCGGTCCGTTTAAAAAGGAAAAAAAACTCATACTTCCCGTATAAAACGTATTTTTCCCGTATTTTACAAAAACATAAACATGAATTGACCAATTGAATGAATGCACTAAATGCATAGAAGATCAACAATAGTGTAAAAGTAAAAATGAAAACGTCCACCCTATGATCTCGTGTTTTTGTATTGTTACAATGCAATTATTAAATACTAAAATTAATTGCATGATGGCTAAAGCTAGCATCCTGAAATACTAAAACTTACGTAGTAATATACTACAAGATTTCTGATGTTTTTATAAGCTAGCATATGAAAATTAAGATTTTTCTAAACCTAACGTTTTTTTAGCATAAGCTTTTACACAAACAATAATAAGTGTAGCAATCACACAACTTTTGTCATATGTCATCTTAATGAAAATGATGAGTTTAACTTGGGTATTATTATTTGATGATCATATAAAGATAATGATTTTTTGACATTATTTTTCAAAATTATGTCCTAGACTTGATTACTGTTTTTATTTTTGTCATCGACTTATGCAATTATGAACTATTCTTGTATGTAGTAATGAGATTTGCTACTTGAATATGTGTATACTTTTATTTCTTTTTTACTATATATGTTATTTTATGAAATATATCATTTAGATAGATGTTCAAAATAATACCCGTATTTTTCGTCCGAATTTTTGTAGTAGATAACGTATTATACACGTATACGTATTTACATGTTTTTAAAAGTCAACGTTTTTTTCAACGAATTTTTGACCGTCTTTTTCATTCATGTTACCGAATAAAACGCGTACGTATTAAACCTCGTTTAATTCCCGTACCGTATTTAACTAACTAGGCTTTTTAATGTCCAGCTCTGCATTTTCTTCTTTGAGATGTTTTCTGTAATCTGAGTTGGATTGCCCGATTTAGAATCTTTCACTACATTTCTCCCGTTAATTCTGCTAAATTTATATAAAGAAAAAATGTTGGTTATTATCAAATTTTAGCTGAAGAAATGTCAAATACTACTTGATTTGTGATTGCATCCCCCATTTGCATTGGTAGCGTGATAACGCTTATGCCAGTAGCCAGCTGAATTAGTAGATACTCCCAAGTCTAAACAATTGGCTGGCTTTGCATTTTGCTCCTAGTTTTGAGAAATTGGTTTTTTTAAAAGTTATTTTTGAAGATAAGTCATCAGGCAAATTTTCTCGAATGGATGTAAAACTGTCTTCTTTTAAAAATATGAGTACTCATGCACTCTTATATAATAAAAATTTATAAAGTACAACTACATTTGAAAGTGTTTGTTAAATGAACTCTTTCATTCTTTTGCACTCTTAAAAATGGTTTTCTTGAAAGTGCTTGTTAAATGAACTTTCATTCTTTTGCCAAACAACACTTTATGAAGTACAACTACATTTTTTTACAAAGCACCTTTTCATGAAATAAGTCATCCAAAAACACTCTTAGTCTTTACCAAAAAAAGAGTCATGTTTTGACAAATAATGCAGTAGCACCTGCAACTATTCCACTAGCAGCTTGAACTGCCACTATCATCCCAGGGAAGGTCCCCCTCACCACCAGTCACTAAGGTGTTTTTTTTTTTGACAGCCCAAAATCACCTACCTGGTATGAGAATTGCACAATCATCATATACAATATATGTAGGTTAATGACAGCATTAATCATTTCTTTCTCCTTTTTAATCAAGACATAGTAGGATATAGCATAATTGGTTTTTCCCTCAGTCACAGGTGAGACAACCAAAGTCTGAAGTATTGCACAAAACTCCTATGCACTGGCCTATTTAATGAGGCATTATGTTTGTCCAAAAAATCCGATCTAACTTCACATAATTTATAAAAGTATAGCTTGAATTAAGAAGAATTCTTTTTCAGCTTTTTCTTATTACTTATTGCCTAGTAATTTTTTCTGCACATTACAATTTTGCTACAATTTTGTAATTGATGTTTTGGTATTATTCATAAGTGAGTGTCCATATTTGTTGTTGTAGATGAGTTTAACTCAAGAAGGAAAGGATGATGCCATATGGCCTGATAAAAAAGAGACTTTGTTTTTTACCGAGAAAGAGAATTATCACTTAAATGATTTTCGAGGCCGAGGATGAACACGCAATAAACAAGCTTTATTTAACTACCGACACTCGTCCTTGCGTAATGTGATTGAGAGGTGTTTCGAAGTACTAAAGGAAAGATTTCACATTCTAGACATACCACGTGGTTACCCATTGAGAAGACATGTTCAAATGCCATAACTTGTTGCACATTTTAGATGTCTCAACAACAAATGCATGAAATTCGAGAAAATATTGCAAACGCAATATGGGATGATTATAATGTATAGATGACGAAGTATGACTGCTGTTCTGATTAACATAATGTCACTTATTGAACTTGTGGTGTTGGGGAACATTTATGTTAAT